AGAAATTTGAAAACGCAACAATCACCGCTCATTTTGGAAAACACATGATCATCGTGACGTCATCGTTTTAAAAAAGCTCCGCTTTCAAAATGTTTTCCGTCCACACGAAAGCACAAAGCCGGTGTTTTCAAATTGCTCCGGTTTGAAAAGCGTTTTAGAAAAGCTCCGTTTTTGGCAGTGGACGGTAGGCCTAACCGTCGGAATAAATCTGCGTTTTCAAATGTTTCCGGCGTAGTATCAGATCAGGGCACCCTGCCTGAAGCAGACTATTCATACTACGACAGCGTCGCCGACAAGAACGTCACCAAACAAAAGGTTTAATTAGCAGAACAATGGCTGAGCACGAGCATTCGAAATCTTGGCTCATTTGTCAACCTTCGTCTGCAACACGTACAACAACGTGTAATGACCAAGTTCCCTGTATNTTTATTAGTCTATGTAACAGGATAATATGGTGTCCAATTTGCAAATACTTGGAAGGAAACACTCAGAACACTGCCAAAATTGGACGAGGCGATTTGGCAATCAATGAAACTTTTGGATTTTATTACCTCCAAACTCAACTGTAGTCGTGCTCTCTCTTATGTCAACATTGCAGAAGGAAATGTCCAAATTACTTGTTCATTGATTAGTACACCATCCAAGTTAAGAGCAGAAAAATTAACAGATACTAGAGTCAGCTACGGGATTATGAGTTTACAATAGTAAACGCGTAAAACAACACCTTTACTACACTCCTACTTGCGACCCCCATCCACGCTACGCCGAAAAAAAATTGAAATGGAGATTTCACTCTAAAAGCGCATCAACACTACTCCGCAGAAATTCTAAAACGCAGCAATCACCGCTCATTTTGGAAACCACATGATCATCGTGACGTCATCGTTTTAAAAAGCTCCGCTTTCAAAATTTTTTCCGTCCACACGAAAGCACAAAGCCGGACAGTAGGCCTAACCGTCGGAATAAATCTGCGTTTTCAAATGTTTCCTGCGTAGTATCAGGGCTTCCTGCCGGAAGCAGACTATTCATACTACGACAGCGTCGCCAACAAGAACGTCACCAGACAAAAGGTTTAATTAGCAAAACAATGGCTGAGCACGAGCATTCGAAATCTTAGCTTATTTGCTAACCTTCGTCTGCAACACGTACAACAACGCGTAATGACCAAGTTCCGTCCCCTGTATTTACCGCTGTCATTACATATTTAGCCTGAGAAGGTTTTAAGACCGATAGGCGTACTGAACAGAACAAAACAATTGCGACATTCGATCGAAGGTAAAATATATATCCATTTTTTAGTCACTAGGCTTACAACCTTCAATATGTTCTTAGCATGTTTAGTCAAAGGGCCTATGAAACGATAATGCTGAACTGTCGTATATAGAGCTTCCGATTTTAATTGACGCGATAATACCTTCTAGAAGGTTTCTAGATAAACTATAGCCTCCAATTGGCACGAAAATATGCTCGAATATTTGTCCGCGGACATTAAGCCTACCTGTTCCGAGAAGCGAAATATGTGAGCTTTGAGGAACAGATAATGTCCAAGGAAAAATATCCGAGCGTATTTTCGCGCCAAATGGAGGCTATTGTGTTTATCATGATCCTTCAAATATTTTTCGCAACACGTGCAGTTTTGAAAATTGGAGAATATCACTCGGATATTGCCAGTTTTGGTTGGGGCACATTCATTCAAGTGACGCGTTTAGACCAATCGCGCGCGAGTGAAAATATTTGACGGATTATAAGTGTCAAATACCATTTTGCAAGAGCCGCGAAAGGGGATTTACAGTCCTACCAAATTCTGTTAACCCCGTAGATTTATAACGCAAGTGAAACAGTTGAGTGAACAAGTTTATATTATAACAAACCAGCTAAGTTTGTGATACTGTAAAAGTTCGTTTTCTGGAAGTTGCCTGAACTGAAAATAGTCCATGTACAAAACATGACGAGGTCAACAATATACAGCCAACAGAAAACGTAATTAGAACAGCACTTTCATTGAGGCGAGTAAATCCACCTTTAAATAGATTATAATTTACAAACAGCATTCTAAACCTGGAGACAACTGTTAAAGTTTAGGATAAAGGGGTCTCAATGGAAGGCATTGTAATGTTGAAACAGGCTTAAATTGCTGCCTTTTGTCTGTTATCAAATTTATTTTCCATTCTCCTTTTCAATGCCACCCAGCTTGCAGTAAACAGCTGTCTAAGACAACATATACCCATTGTTCTTGATCAGTTCATGTTTAATTAAGTGCTACTAACATGGTTTGTTCAAGGCAAATAACAGGCCTTTCTCGACAAAAGTATCCAATGGTTTTTGTTCTGTAAACGACAAAACGTATACGAAGCTGCAACTGAATCGCACAACGTTCTGGTGTTCAAACACACTGATTTTCTCCAAGCCACCGACGTTTTCGCTTAGAGACTGAAACTGAGATACAGGCTCAAGATGTTATCCCTGCTGATATTAACTTCTGCATTGGCCCTGACTAATGGTATGTTAAAAAACTTCAATAGAAAATAGAAAGATTTTTGCAAGTTTGCCGACACTGACCACAAAACTGCGAAAATATCTTTTATTTGTGTGAAAACACTTCACTGCAGTTCATATTGTAGCCTGCAAATTAANTTGTTTACATGCAAAAGTTTGGCTATTATATTTAATTCGGAGCATGTAGAAAGGAAGAAAATCACTGTAAAAAAACTAAAGATAATTAAACACACTTTCAGGAACGCAACGTACAGTAAAACAATGAGATTTCGCTTCACCATGCAATATCAATCATTTCGATGGCATCGAAAACAGCAGAGGCTGACTAGGGTCAGAAAACATCAAAATCATTGTTGCGATAAGTCCTACCCATCACTTCATCACTTCACAAAAAGTTTATTTACTGTTCTTGTGTTGTTGTTGTTTTTCCCCATATAGTTTACACTACTAAGTGTGAGAGGGCAAGACTGGAGGCATTAGCCAATGGTCCCTTACTCGGACAGTTTGTTCCACACTGTAGGGACGACGGGTCGTATGAGCC